CGCAGAGCAGGGAGCCCGATGCGGGACTCGATCCCAGGACCCTGAGATCATGACCTGAGCCGAAGGCAGACGCTTAACCATCTGAGCCACCCAGGCGCCCGATGGTACCATCCTTCTTGACAAGGGTGTTTTCAAGCCTGAGCTGTCACCCTATTCCCCTCTGAGATATTAGCTGGATGAGAGAGGTGAGGATGGGGGAGGGCTTTTTGTAGGCAAAGCACAGAGCACAGGAAATAGAATTTTGAGGATTCTCCAGGAAGTGGGGAGGATGAGCACAACTAGAGCTCCAAAGGAACCCTGGACCACAGAGATGGGCAGCCCAGAATCAGATAAGGCAGCAGGGGCCGTGTGGGCTCCAGGGCCATTGGAATGAACCACAGACCATGAGGTGAGGAGGGTGTGGCCCTCTGGAGTCCAGACTAGGAGGGGAAGGAGGAAGGAGTACAGGGGCAACCGGGACCTATGAAGCTGTCAGCTGACGGCCCAGCTCCTTCCAATATGCTTGAACGGCATGGGTGTGCGTGCTTCTAGTACATCCTCACTCTCCCAGCTCCCAGCCTCCCCGGCCCACCCCTTCTCCAGGCTGCACGTGGTCCTTAAGAGCACAGATTTGAACACAGGTGACCCTTAAACATCTGTGAATGCTCAGCCTCACTCAGTGAGAGGAATGCCAATGAGAACTCTGAAGAAACCATTTTTTAAACCTCTCCGATCATCAACATGAGAGATTGCACGGCATGATGGGACAGTGGGGGAAAGAGGTCTCACCCATGGCTTGGAAACGTGAATTTAGAAATACGGCAAGCAAGAGAGAAGAGCCTGGGCTCTGCAGTCAGACTGCCTGGGGTCCAAACCTCTGTCTCTTGGGAGTTAAGTTTCTTTAGGTCTCAGTCTCCTTATCTGGAAAATGGGAGTGGTGCTTACTTCATAGGGCTCCTCGAAGGATTTAATGAGACAGTGCTCATAGACACTTAGAACAGTGCCTGGTATATAGGTGATAAAATGTTAGCCATCCTCCACTGCTATGGGGAAGAAGGCCGACTGGACTCAGTCACAAGGCACACACCACTGGCCAAGCGATAACTACTTCTAGTTGTGTGTCATATAGAAATAATAGAACAACATGTAAAGGTAAATGTACAAGGGGACTCAATGCAACATTGACTGGAATACAAGACTAGGTACAACCTAAATACATGACAATAGGAAACAAGTTAAATAAACTGTGCCATGGTCTTAAAATAGAATACTATGCATCTCTTTTTAAAAATGAGGCAGCTAGATATGTACAAATATGACACAATCTCCAAGATATATTGTTACATTAAAAGAATAAGGTGTAGAATAGTGGGCAGAGTATGCTACCACCTGCGTTAAAAAAAAAACAAAAAAAACCCACCATAGATACTATGTGTTGTGGGTGTATACTTTCATGTGCAAAAAAACTCTTTGAAAGGCAACACAGGAAATTACTAATAGCTGTTTCTTTCAGAGAAAGGATAAGGGCTATTTGGAGGATGCTCCTATTACCCACTGCAGAAAGTTAGCTTTTTTTATAGTTAAAAAATACAATCTGATATGTCATTCCTCTGCTTAAATTTCTTCCATTTGCTCTTAGGACTAAAATCTAAGGTCCTTAACAGAGCCTATAAGACCCTTTCAGGCAGGGCCCAGGTCACCTCTGCCCCAACCATTCTCTCCATGCCCCTCCCCAACCCCCATATTTCAAGCGTGCTGAGCGGTACTCACACCTCTCGCTCTCACTAACCACTACACCTGTGCAGGTGCTGTTCCCCTGGAACATTCTCTTTGCCTCAGCATTCTAACTCACCCTTCTGGTCCGAGCTTAGCTGTCACTTTCCCTAGAAATGCGCTGCAGGATCCATCTTACAGCTGGAATGTCCCTATTCTGCCCCCACCACACTTTCCACCGCCCTGACGGAAGCAGAGACAAGGAGCGTGTCCCAGGTTCTCTTTCTCAAAATGCCTTTTGACTTCAAGAAGGTTCTGAAATATCTGTGGCAGACTCTCTGGGTGCCCTCTCAGGAGTCATCTTTCCTCTTTGTTGAGGACAGAAGCCAAGTTCCAAGTCCAATGCTAAAGAGACAGCAGAGTGCCATGCCCCAGGGGCTGAGTCAAGGTTGGTGGAAGCCAATCAGGGTAAACCTGCTTATCTTGACTAGATATTTGCTCTTCCAGCATCCTGTGCAGCTAAGGGTGAGCAGGTGACCCAACTCTAGAAAGATTTCTTGTCTCTTTGATAAAAGGAGAGTGGCTCACAAAGCCCTTGTGCCTCTGTCCTCGGGCTTCCTGCTTCGGATGCCATCACACGAGGTGTGATGTTGAGGACTGTGGCAAATAACTTGAGACCCCATGGGGAAAAGATGCCCCGTGTCACTGAGCAACTAACCCAACCCTAACATTGGCACTGCCAGACTTCAAGAGAAAAGAGGTTGCACTAATGAGCTAAACTCATCCTTTTCGTTTATCACGTGGCTCTTGGTCGGGTATTCTGTTAAGTGCGGCCAAAAGTATTCCTAATTGTGCACCATGATAGAGTAGACAGACTTGAATCCCAGGATCAGTTCACAGAAAACAAACAAAGGGTCCCTGATTGAGGCAAGGAGCAATGCCTTGAGACTTGACAAATTAAGTTTCTCTCTCTGGACCTACCCTGATCTGAAGTTTCATGTCCAGGTCATAACTAGCTCAGCACTTAGGGGTAGAGCCAAGGTCAAAGTCACCAAGATAAGCAGCCCGTGGCATTTACTCTGTTCTTAGACTTCTGTAACCTTCACACTGTTAGAGAAGACTTATGTACAAAGACCTTTTCAACCCTCAAGATGATCCTTCTCTAGGACAACATGACAGTAGCAGTTAGTTCACTGATTTCAACTTTCTCCCAGAGGTCATCAGAAGTTACTGGTACCTCCATTCGGCCCTACAGTGAGAGTTCATCCCTCAAAAGTCTGATGCACTTCTTTATGAAATCTTCAACATCCTATTGTTGCATCTCTTTAAGAAAGGAGGCCACTGAGGGTGAATTTGAGTCCTACTTACAGGTGTTTGAAAGCAGCAGAACAACTGTGTGAGGAAGGGGTGATTGCGAGCCAAGGACAGGATCCTTTTTTCCGTCATTGTGCATTCCACATCGTCATCCTGCAAGATCACGTCCTTCTTCAGCACCTTCACGGCGTAAAGGTCTCCTGTTTCTTTTATTCTCGCAAGCATCACCTGTGGCAAAGCAGGAGAAGGAAGCACAGGCGTGAGAACTCTTGAGATTCTTAGGGTGTGGGAACACATGAGGCAGAATGGGCCCGGCACTTGGAAAGTATGAGCATGAATACATACATGCACACTCAAACAACATACATGTAGCATGCTTACTTTAACCCAGACACCTCAGAAGCCAGGACTCACCTTCCCGAAGCTCCCCTTCCCCAACACTCGGATGAACTCAAAGTTGTTGATACCAAGTCGGCTGGAAGAATCAACCCCGATCCCATTTCCTTCTTTGGTGTTTTCCCTTCCCTGTCGTCTTAGAGTTGACCTGGAAACGAGCTTCTGCAAAGAAGAGTAGGAAAACAGGGAGTCAGAAGTCACAGCATGGGCATGAAGCATTTATGGATGGAGAAGACCTTATTAGCTGCCTCAACTCTCAACACAACAGATGGGGAAAGATCAATTCAGCTGGACATGTGATCAAGTTCTGCCATTCAAAACTACACAGTACCAGCTCCTGATCTGTGCTTACTGTATTTGGAAAAGAATCATTTTAAAATATATCCAAGCCACCGAGAGTTTCAGTTTTAACTCAAATGGGAATGTATGAAACACTAACGCCTTAGTCTGGTCCCTCCAGTGGCTTGCGGTGGCTTTCCACAGGATGGTCAGATTCCAAGAGCGCCATCTGGTGTCCACTTCATTCAAAGAGCGGTTTTCGCATTTGCTCAAAGGATCCATACCAGGATGTGAATGAACGAAGCAATATTTATTACACAATATTTAAAATTATATAAGAGAAATAAAAATTAATATAAAAACTAGAATAATGAACAAATGTATGGAGGATAAAATTTTAAATACTTCCAATCTTATGAGGTCCCCCTCAAAAAATAAAAAAAAAAGCCATTACACATACACACATATCTTTACAGTTGATTAATTTTTAAAAATATAATAAAATTGTGGTTTCATAACACACATTTTTATTTAACACTTTGTCATGTGTAATTTTCATATCCTTCAAGAACATGAGTGTTAAGGGCTGTCCAATATTCTGTTTCATGGATATACCACAGTTTATTCATTAATTCCCCTGCTTATTAGAAACAGGTTATCTCCCATCTTCCGCCAGTTTAAATAACAGCATCATGAACATCCTTGCATGCTAATCTTCAAAGCAGGGTGATTAAGAATCTAGACTCTCAAGCAAGCTGCCTGGGTTCCAATCACAGCTCAGTAACCTAATCCTGTAACTCTGGGTAAGTTACCTACCCATCGTCTCTGTGCCTCAGTTTCTTCTAACAAAGGATGGGATAGCACCTGACACACAAGTGATTATGAGGAATGAATGAAATCACATAAAGCACTTAGATTGGTGCCTGGCACATTCAATACACATGAACTGAGTTGCTGCCGTCATCATGATCATGAGCATCATCTATTTTCTTATGATAACTTTCTGGAAATGCAATCTTTTGGGCCAAAATGTAGATCTTGAAGACTCTGGATACCAGTCAGCTGGCCCTCTAGGGAAGTTGACCACGAGCACAATGAGAGCTCCAGCCTCACCATACTGAACCAGAAGGAGGCATGGCCTCCTCCATGGGTAACCGCATCTCACTGGTCTAAGCCCAGTCACAGCGAGGGAGCTCCCTGACGGCAAGATGACTTGCAGATGTCCACCTTGGGACATTTATAAGACGAGCTACCCCTAGGCAACAGATCAAAAGTCCAACGTTCTGAAGTTCTTGACCTATTTAGCTGAAAAACCCCAGCTTATCTGGAACAACTTCTAAGTAATGTTTTCAAACAAACAACAACTGTGCAATTGCTTGAACCTACAAGGCTTTGACTTACTCAGCCCAATAAAACAGTGATTACAGATATAAAATGGATCACCTTAAAAAATCCAGTTGTTTTTAGTAGTTTCTCCCTCCAGATCTCCGATCATAAATATTTCAAAGATAGAAAAACTTTACTAGCTTGAATCTCACTTCCTCCACTTAAATACTTCCCCTGGTTGGGCTAGAAAACGTTAAGCCAGTATTTCTCAATCTTTTTTTTTTTTTTTTGTAACCTATTCTTCTCTTTTGCTAGACTCAAGATTCTGTTTCACGTTGTGCTGTCAAATGACAGGTAATTTTGGCTTTTCCACTTTTAAATATCATAACATTAAAGATCGTTGGCTCAAGTGACAAATGACAGGTGGCATTGCCCATTCTAGAGCTTGTGCCACATGGTCTATCTTATTCCCATGACATTTTAGGAGCCCCGGTACAGGCTGAAATCCTTAATCCGTGCCCTTTGGGAGCAGCCGTCCCACGCACTAGAAATCCCCCTCCTGGTATCAGCAACCTGCCTTTCTGTCCATGCTTAGACATTAGACTTTACTGATGCTTCCCTGAAATAAGGGAATACAATTTCAGTCCAAATCCCTAAACAGCCAGTAATAAGGGAATGGGGTGGTGAGTACGGACATTTTCTGGATGACTAAGAACTTGACAGTGATTGCACTTCCCTAAGTACCCAGAGATATTTAACAGTTAAGTCTAGTATTTTCCTAAGCCAGATATGAAGCTACACCTTTCAGAAGCCACAACAGGAGCCCTGGCTCTTTCCCAGCCCGGAAGGCAGCAATAGGACGTGGGCCTGGGAAGTGGTCGAGGCTCTAACGGTCAACAGTGAGTGGAGGTCACTCGGGGAGGCTGCGAGACAAAACACACCCAAAGCAAAGGACAACTCCACCCACTCCCAGGAGCCGAGAGGAAGGAACTCCTGTTTGCCGCTGAACTTGAGAGATAAATTCACAATCCATAAACAAAAACTGCAGAACAGTGAGACTCCAGAGCTGGGGAGAATCTCAGGGATCCTCACGTTCAACCCCATTAGAGAGGGTTGAGGCCCTCTCTACTGAGGCCCGTAGCTGCTCGTCACCTCAGCTGCTGGGTAACCCAGGGCCCTGGAATCCAGAGCTTCACCACACCACACTGACAGGAAGCTGATTTAAAAAAAAAAAAAAAAAAAATCCCTCTTCTGCTTCCTGCTACATCTGCATGCTTGTTATTTCTTGTCATATAATTGTATAAAGAATCTTTTTTGTGGAACAAAATGGTCTTAAAAAAAATACAATAAATCCGTTTATTGTGTTTGCTGAGAGGAGGAGCTCTGCTTATGCTGCAGGCACTCATTCGGACTCACCCCCATCTGAACAACTTCTAAACTACAATACGTCGAAGAAAGCCAAGTCTCACCGAGGTTGGAGAAATATTTCCGGGCTGGAGGCCCATCCCGGCCAGGGTCTTGGCGAGCTCCACCGCATTGACCCCACAGTTCGGGGCTACATTTGCCTGACATCGGATGTGCACGTTCATCTTACAGACTGGAGGGGGGAAGAGAAGGGAGTCCACGTTCAGGAAGGAGCCAAGTCAACATACGCTGCAAAAAAGAGCTTTAATCACCTGAAAGACTATGACAGGGGAATGATCCAGGCTTGGATGCACTCAAAGCAAACCCTGACGTTTGTCTCATCACTGCTTTATGCAGTAGCAGCATGGGGCCTGGCATACTGACGAATAATACATTTCAAATCCACTTTCTTCCCTGTTGACTTGATGAAAGGCATTCACCTAAATCATGTGTAATAGTCATTGCAGACTTAACAGCGTGATTCAATATAGAAATCAAAACGTTTGTCACGGCGACATTTCAGTCAATTAACAAGGAAGCGTGTCAACTGACTGGATGCTTTTTCTTGCATCACTCAAGAAAAGGTAGCCATCTAAATGCCACATAGAAATCGCTGTTCAAACAGGATGGAGATGGTGTTTCTGAGAGAAAAACCTCTAAGTGAAGCTTGCTTTCTGAGCACTGTTGTGGTTGGGGAGCCCTCCCAGCCCAGGGCACAGCATCCTGTGGGGCTGTGGGTCTCAGTGCTTGTAGCCTGTGGTTCGAACTACTTCATGGGGGAGAAAAGCGAGGTGTTTTTTTTTTTAAAGATTTTATTTATTTATCTGAGAGAGAGAATGGGAGACAGAGAACATGAGAGGGAGGAGGATCAGAGGGAGAAGCAGACTCCCTGCCGAGCAGGGAGTCCGATGCGGGACTCGATCCCGGGACTCCAGGATCATGACCTGAGCAGAAGGCAGTCGCTCAACCAACTGAGCCACCCAGGCGCCCCGAGGTTTTTTTTTTTTTAAAGGTCAAAGTAAATGGCAGTTGGAAGAGGAGAGAGAAGCAAGCTACGTTCCTGGTGCATAGGAAATGGACTTGGGATGATGAAGGGACCCAGGGTTTAATCAGCAGGAAGTTCTGACGCAGTTTCTTAACATGGGCCCTGCTGATGGGAGGCAGAAATGAAATAGCAGGCAACAAATTCCTGTATCTTCCATCTCTGGAAGCATGCCCGGATCCAGGTTTGGGGGGTGGGAGGGGTCTGAATGTACGTGATTTAGGGTGCCCTCTTTAAGAAAAAGAATATCCAATCCAGAGGAGAGCTCTGGAAGGTGCCCTTGCAAGGGAGGGACCCTGAGGCTGAAGCTTCAGTAGCTCCTCATGGGAAACCCCCTCCCTCAGGAAGATGGGTACAGAGACACACAAGCCCGCAGTGCCCTTGCTAAAGTACGAGTGACAAAACAAAGCAAAAAGTACAGATGGATCACTGTCTGTGTGCGACCCCCCAGGCCACGAGGGACAAGAACAACGCGGGGGAGCCCATGCACAGCTCTGCATGTTGGCAACAACTATACAAAGGCAGAAAGTGGCCTCTGCGGTGCAACCCACGCCCAGGGGAGACCATCCAGCTGAAGGTCAAGCGGTGCCTGAACCAAAGCTACGCACAAGCTGGTTGCTGTTTGGGTTGAAAAAGAATTACTCCATGTATCTAGGAAAAAGGAATTAGGAAATGATGTTCTCGAGAGATGAAAGAGTTTGCCCTTCCTAAAGACAAGTGGCTAGTCCCTTTCTGTCGGCAGAATTAGGCTTGGTAAGGGCAGGTAGTTGATGGACGTTGTCCAGCTGCATGGACATCAACTCCGCCTCCCCCAGTGACTCAGGATTTATCTAAAGCTTCAGGCTGAAATTTGCGTGTATTTCTGCAGGAAACTGCGCCCCAAGACAGCCGGATGTTACAGCAACACCCCATGGGAGAAGACTCAGCAACTCCCCAGCTCCTAACAGGACGGGAATCACCCCTTACTCTCAGACCCTCTGCTAAGGCAAAAGCTCCAAACTCAGGCTGCCCTGGGCACAGTGAGTGACGTGCAAGTCCATGGCCAAAGGTGAAACATCCTTCACCCCACCTACCTCTCCAATCTCTAGCGATCTTTTTGAGAAGACCCAGGGCAGCTCTCGTTGAGCTTTGACTCCATTCCTGCTTATTTCTGGCAAGGTCACTAGACCTACTCTCCTGCCAGTTCTTACTCATAACCAAAGCCTCTCTCTTGGCCACCTCACCTCCTACCACCTTCCATTTCTGACCAAGATCCCATTGTTCCCTCTTTCAAATACCTATGAAAATACACAGCAACTAGCAGGCCCTCAGCACTAAGCAGCTGACAGCTAGCTAGATAGAACACTGAATTTAACAACTGACTGGATCTACAGTTAGGAAATCTTTGGACCAGATGTGGCTCTCCTTACATGCCTGACAAGGGACACATGCACCTAGAACCATGAAGATCTAATTTACAAAGTGCCTATAACCATCGGTCCTGGGTCAGAAGCTGAGCCTACAGAACTCCGAAAGCTTGCAGCGCGGTGTTCTCGTGAAGTGGGTACCCAGCACCCCAGCATCTCACTTTTACACTGAAGTCCTTGTCGCATGATGCCCCAGAGCAGCGAGCCACAGTGATCGCAGAAGGTTGGCACTTTGTAGTTGTGGATGCTGAACTTGTGCGGGATGTTGATTCCGAACCTCTGTTCAGCAATCTATAAAAAAAAGGAAGCAGAAGGACAAGACCTAGGATGCCGTGCCAGCATCTTTTGTAGAAACTGTAACAGGAGCCCCCCAAATGCAAGGTGTTACCATGACATCTGAGCTGGGGAGATTATTTCACTGTACTCAGGCTTTCCTCACCAGGCTGAGCACATTTTCTAATCAACAAGACTAAAAAGAAAGGGTGTAGTGGGCATTAGATTGCTCACCATTTCGGGAGATAAATAGGAATGAAAACCTTTTTTATCATCGTTTATATTCAGGCTGTATTTCTCTCCCTGCCAACTCCCTCATGCCCATGTCTATTTCCTAAACCCTTTTAACTTCAGGTTTAACAGGTCTCTTATAGACCATATACACTTGCTGTTAGCACAGGCTTTTCCAGATATCGTGCTGGTGGGGGCCTGGGGGAGAAGGTGGCACCCAGCGAGCACGGAACCACAGAAGGAATTCACTCCAAAGCGACATCCTAGCAGCTTACTCAGCCCTCCCGGGCTGTGCCTGCCATTTGCATTTTACAGTCTGAGGGCACGGGTCCTGCTTTCATCTCACAAACTGTTTCCAACAAATAATTAGAGTAGGCATATGCACTACAGTCTCTGTCACCATTTGAGGTGACAACAGATCCACACAAGACAAGGAGTGGGCTAATTATGACTCCTCTTGGAACTCTGCTGGTCTCTTTCTCATAGAAGCTGTGGCTCGTGCCTCTGCAAGTACTCTTTAGCAATCCTGTATGTGTACTATAAGCAATCGCTGAGCTCAAAGTCAGACTCCCCAGTGCATCTGTAAAACCGCGGCTCATTGTCAGCAATATTCCAGCTGCTTTCTATCTCCACAATGTAGAATGTGCCCACCCCAGCTGAATGCAGTGCCCGTGACGAGGATGAGAGTCAAGCATTTATACACAGAAGTGCATCCTCCTGGAAATTTTGGAAGACACTGGAGAAGGCTAATAGTCACCTTATTGAGGAAGCACAATTTACAGTTAACAAATACTTGACACATCAATTCTATCTTGTGGAAGCCTCACAAAAAAAGCACGTGAGGGAAATATGAATCCCATTTTAAGACTGAGGCTGAAAAATGTCCACAATAGCCAAACTGTGGAAAGAGCCAAGATGTCCATCGACAGATGAATGGATAAAGAAGATGTGGTATATATATACAATGGAATATTATGCAGCCACCAAAAGGAATGAGATCTTGCCATTTGCAACGACGTGGATGGAACTGGAGGGTATTATGCTGAGCGAAATAAGTCAAAAAGAGAAAGACATGTATCATATGACCTCACTGATATGAGGAATTCTTAATCTCAGGAAACAAACTGAGGGTTGCTGGAGTGGGGGGTGGGGTGGGAGGGATGGAGTGACTGGGTGATAGACACTGGGGAGGGTATGTGCTCTGGTAAGCGCTGTGAATTGTGCAAGACTGTTGAATCTCAGATCTGTACCTCTGAAACAAATAATGCAATATATGTTAAGAAAAAGAAAAAAAGAAGAAGATAGCAGGAGGGGAAGAACGAAGGGGGGGAAATCGGAGGGGGAGATGAACCCTGAGAGACGATGGACTCTGAAAAACAAACTGAGGGTTCTAGAGGGGAGGGGGGTGGGAGGAGGGGTTAGCCTGGTGATGGGTATTAAAGAGGGCACGTTCTGCATGGAGCACTGGGTGTTATATGCAAACAATGAATCATGGAACACTACATCTAAAACTAATGATGTAATGTATGGTGATTAACATAACAATAAAAAATTTAAAAAAAATAAAAATAGAAATTAAAAAAAAGATTGAGGCTGGAAAAAAAAAAAAAAAAGCCTGAGGCTGACAGAGAAGCTAGCTAGCAGAGGCTGGATTCTGCATTCAAATCCTAGTCATTCGATGCCAAATTCAGGGACCTTTTCAGTCCTTCAAAACCCTCTCCAAATTAGAAAAACTGATCCTGAGAGCTTGTATCCAGCTGATCATTCATGGGATCAACTCAAGGACAGCTCATGCTACACAAGTATAGAAATAAAAACAGCATACTATAAAAAGGAGAAAAAATTCAATTCTGATACCACCATTCACTTCAAGGAGTGTGGAAGGGAGGTGGAAAGGGGATGGAGCAAGAAAAGAGAGAGAGAGAAGTGCACACATGAGCTTGTGCTGGCACTTAATTAGCAAACTTCTACCTTCTTACCTTTGAATCCATTTTGTTAATATTGTTCTGGCAAGTGCAGGCTGTAACAATCAGATGATGGCAGCGTTTATGGACGACACAGGTGCACACTAGGGAATCAAATGCATGATTATACATTCCTCGGAGGCTCACGGTCTGCCAGTTCTAGTGGAGTCGACAAGGGCTGCTCCATGCCCAGGTGACTTGATTTGGGTGTCTGGCCCACACGATGGCATCCAATGCACCCATCCTTCCCACGGTCATTACCATCACCCTAACTCATGCCTTTGCTCACACCCAAACTATTTGCACTCAAGTCTTGAGCCCACTTCATCCTTCCTGCCTTTCCCCCTGCCTGCACCCACCTGCATAAGAATCCTCCTCTCTTGGTGTAATTCTGGGCACCTTGCCCCACAATCTAAACCTTCAATGGCATCTCACTGCCGATGAGTCAAGTTCAAATTTCCCAGCCAGGTTTCAGGCCCTCCAGAAGCTACCCCCAGCTTACCTGTTACCTTTCTTTAAGGGGAGCTCTTTGTCCCAATAAAAACTAGACTGGTTGCTCTTCCTGGAGCAAGCCTTCACCCTCGCCTGCACACTGACCATGTCTTGCTCAATTCCCTAGGAGATCCTCGTTGCCTATCGCCTAACTACATCTTAAGTTTATAATAAGACACAACTTGAGAACTGTCTCTTCCATGAAAATATACTACCCCTGGCTCCCCTTCTAGATTAAACCATCTCTCTCTCCTTGGATCTCTTACAACTCTTAGCCTGCCCCTGCCCCTGCATTTCAAACCTTCCACAGTAGCCTCTAATGCCCTCAGAATTCCCAGGCAGCATGATGCCTTGAACAAGATAGGCACTCATTAAATATTTGCAGAATGACTCAATCAATTGTTTGAATACTTAGAACTTCCAAATAACATTTTTCTCCCATTTTCATCTGGATAACTGACACAGTGCAGACAAGAGTCCAGTTTACCATTAAAAGGTGAACAAGTATAAGGAAGCAGTATGAAAGTATATGTTATTTTTAAGATCTTTCAAGACACGTGGAGGTTTTTAGGATTAACTACATAAACACAAATGACATGTTCGCAAATAGTAATATATTTTAAAACAAATCTAGCTTTCATCAGACTGATTTTGAAGGAGAACCAAATTGAAAGTTCCCAGAGAATGTCTTTTTATATGAGAGAAACTCAAAACCATCCCTCACACAGAAAAACCTTATATTCTGAAGCATCTCAGGTTTGCTTGTTTTTTTCATTTGCTTGGCTAGAGCTTTATCAACTTTATTGATCTTTTTAAAGAACCAGCTTTTATTTGGTAGATTTTCTCTGTTGTTTTCCTAATTTCAATTTTACTGATTTGTGCTTTAATTTTATTTCTTTTCTTCTGCTCCCTTTAAGCTTCTCTCCTTTTTCTAGTTTCCTTAAAGATGAAAACTGAGATTACTGATTTTAGATCCTTCTTTTCTAATATATGCATTTAATGCTATAAATTTTCCTGTGAGTACTGCCTTTGCTGAATCCCACAAATTTTGATAAGATGTATTTTCATTTTCATTTGGTCTGAAATATTTATTATTTTCTCTTGAGTCTTCTTTTACCCATGTGTTATTTCAAATGTGTTGTTTAATCTCTAAATATTTAGGGGGCTTTCCAGCTATCTTTCTGTTATTCATATGTAGTTTAATTCCACTGTGGTCTGAAAAGATACTTTTTATGATTTCTATTATTTTTTATGACTTCTATTCTTTTAAATTTGTTAAGGCTTATTTCACATGCCAGAATGTGGTCTATCTTGATAAATACTCCTTGTGAGCTTGAGAAGGATGTACATCCTGCTATGGTTAAGTGGAGTCGTCTATAAATGTCAATTTGATCAAATTGTGGATATCCTTACAGATTTTCTGCCTGCTGGACCTATCAGTTACTGAGATATTGAAGTCTCCAACTCTAACAGTGAATTTGTCTGTATATCCTTGCAGTTCTATCAGTTTTTGCCTCATGTATTTTGATGCCCCGTTGTTAGGTGCCTACATGTTAAGGATCATTAGGTCTTCTTGAAAAACTGACCCCTTTATCATTACATAATGCCTCTCCTTAGACCTGATAATTATCTTTGTTCTGAAGTCTGCCTTGTCTATTTGGTTTTGATTAGTGTTGGCATGGTATATACCCTTCTCAAACCGGGTATTTGGTTTTATGTCCCTTACCAAGATGTGAACATATCCTGACCAATGTTCTTTCTTGTTCTTTCAACAAAAGGTGGCCCACTGAAAATCAGCCCATCAAACATCCTGGCACTATGCATAAGATGGACCAGGGTTGACCACAAGGCATGTCCCTGTGCTGGACAGGTGCTAAAAAGTGACATCAATTCTCACCTGTGAACTATGTTCTCATTTGGGGCTGACATTAATAGCATAAAGTCAATTACTGTTGTCATATTGATTATATATTCTTTTTCTAAATTTGAGAACTCAGTAGAATTGCTCATACATGTTAAAATGAAAATTATATCCAAGAGTATGTCCTATTCCATTCTAAGGGAAATAATGTTCTACCTCACCTTCTCCAGAAGAGAAGGCAGGATTTGCTTACTGACATGGAGGCTACACTCCAGGACATGTTAGTGCTATTTCACCAATCATCTGTAGAGTGCACATCAAGAAGACAGGTACCCTATGTATAAACTGTGTGATGATGCTCAAACCAACAACAAGGGTGGCCCAAATAAAAGACAAACCAATCCCGTCTAGTTAAGTCTGAGTAAGAGCCTTCTTTCACTCCTCCCACTTGGAACACTAGTAAATTGGTTTTATCTTAGAACTGTGAAAATCAAAATAAATTTAATGCATAATAACTACAAGATCATTAACAGATTAACTTTGAACATTTCTCACATTTTTTTTAAATTAGAAAATCAAAAAGCAACTGAGATAATAGCTTCTATTCCCTATGCAGGTTAAGAAACAACACTGTGCCATTTCTCACCCCTATTAACAACGGGGTTGTAAAAGACAAAAATTTAGCTTCAAGATTTATAGGTACTGCTCACACAATGGCGTAACCTTTCACTATTTTCATGTTATTGCAGAAACAAAACTTTAAACAATTAAACTGTATTAGGTATCTCGGCTTTAGAAATAAAAGTGTCTCCTCTACGCTGTCTAAAATGTAGCCAAAATATAAACCACAACTAAAAAGTTGCAATTCTATAGGGGTCTCATTTGACTTGCAGAGTTATTTATCACAATATTAATGAAATGTATCCTGTGTCTTCTTAGGGAACAATATTAAACATAGTTTTTAAAATGTTTTCTTACCTTGACATTGATAACCTTGTTTCCCAAACACTCCCCTGTTCAAGACAATAGAGAAAAAGTTATCATCAGCCTATTTCAGCAACAATGCTCCTATAATCATAGTACTTAAGGAAAACAAATGTATGCCATCCTCTGCACCTTTATGAAAAACATAATTTCAGAGAAGAAGCAAAGATGAGGTGATTTCTGAGCCCTTGTTTGTTACCACAAGACATAGAGGAAGTCACCTGATGATCAGAATCCTCTAGTGATATACACAGGTGGGTACTGGTGATCCTCATTCTACCCACCTCCCTCTGTGGCAAACCCCAGGTCCTCATCTCATCATGTGACTGAGCCTCAGCCTGAAGGGTCACTCCACCACCTTCGCTGGCCTTCTCACTCACATACACATAAAGATGCTCAGGTAGTGAAGTAAACAGATGAGTCCACCGCAGCTGCCTGGCCTGAAGCACCCTCCCTCTTCCCTGTGCCCCCATCACCCCTGGAGTCCAGGGGGTAGGGCAGAAATACAGCCACAAGATGCCTGTCAAGCCCACAGCTATCATCTTGGTCTCTCCCTAGTATATTCTCTGAGCGATGATGACATTATCCTCATTCTCATTTAACACAGGCCACATTTTATTAAGCCCGGAGGATGTGCCAGGCACTGAGCCAAGCTGCTGTCGTACAGCATCTCATCTAATCCTCACAAAAGTCACGTGAGGTAGCACGCGTAATAGGAAGGCTCAGAGCACAGACTGGGCATGATTTGGGGCACATCACTAATTCCTTTGAGCCATAGTTTCTTCATCTATAGAGGGAAATAATGACCACAGTACCTATTTCATAGGGTTGTCCTGAAGATAGAGAGAGGTGATAATGTAAAACGCTTAGGATAGTGCCTAGAACTTTAAGTTCTACATAAAACTTTATGATATAAGCAAAATAAAATTATCTTTATTTTACAAATAAGGAGACACTGATGGACTATATAATTTATTTAGGTTCACACATCTAGTTGGTGATGAGATTGAATGCCAGAGTCCATACTGTTAACCATATATATGTAACACATACATTAATATTGTGTCTCTGTGTGTGTGTGCCTGTGTGTGTGTGTGCGTGTGTGCGAGAGAGAGAGAGAGAACGAGCGCGGGAAAGTGAAGGCTGGTTGAGTGGGAGTTAATGTTTCCTTGGTGGAAAAAATTTAGTGAAATTATCAAACAACTTTCCATTGAGAACGTTGGTTGAGGTCACAGGTTGTCACCACAAATGCCCACAGGGGCAGGCAGGTCACATAGAGGAGGGAAGCAGAATGGTGTGACTTGAAATAAAGAGTAGCAGACCTTTCAGGTCAGGAAAACCACAAGGAGAGAGGTGGACGGCAACTGACTAGACAGTACAGATGACCTCAAGGGTGGAAAATGGGCTCAAAGATGCCAGAGCTTTTCAATTGTTCAATAGAAAATTCAGCAGGAACTTGTTTCTGAAGACTAGAGTTGTGATGGCATATTTATCGGCATATTGACAGCCAGTTTAGGGTCTTTGGTTTAGACAAGACTCTATCCTTAATTTAAAATGCCAGAAACACTAACCCTGGATTCTGACTGCTAACAGGTAGCAGGTACTTTTAAACCAAAGTAATCACACACACACACACAAAAATACAAACTCATTGATCAATACTCAAAAAAAGTTACTCTGAGCCAAGTGCTTTTGACTTAAACAAAATGACTAAAGTTTGCAATAAAAACAAGGATTTCCTTTTATGCTTTAGATACTAAACTGTCTTTTCTCCCTCAGAGATGGGTATGGATGGGTATGTATGGGTACATGTTTGGGATGGGTGAGGGGGCATTTCCTTCTTCTCTTTCCAAATAAATGTGTTTAATGTTGGCTGTAAATGAAGCTAACTATTAACTTAAATTTATTTTACATTATAGATTTGCCACTGAGGTTTCAGCTTCAGTCACATGTATAGTAAAATATTGCCCCAATTCATCTAGAAGTTCTCAACTATTAATTATCTCAATTCCTAAATGCCAAGGATTATAGTATGCAATCGCTGAAAGTTTTACCTTTGGCCACATACCATAAGGCTGAAGATTATTGTGTGCTTACTTTACTTACAACAACTAATTTTTTTTTTTGATAGAAAAATCCTTTAATCAAAACAAGTTTACAATGTTGACACTTATGGCTTAACTAGAATACGTCTGTCCAAATTTAAATTGTATTAAGGACCAGATATAATGTAGTATCAATAGTTCCCTCAAAACAGTAGGTCCCAGTTCCATTGTAAGACCTCTCAAAAAGCATAACTCCAATTATTGAAATAATTCAAACTATTCATTTATAGATGAAAACCGTTATCTATCTGAGAGGTCAAAACATACAATGCATGTCACATGCAAACACTGGTGTTAAGCCTGTTCTCCGTATTCATATTTTCAAAACATGAGAAGTCTTTTAGCTACTGAAACCACCAACTGACCTAATAATCAAAATATCTTAAAAATGCTATCTGTTAAGTTACCCTTAAATTTTGTTAACCTTGGTTTACCCTGATTTAGTCCATATATATGAATATACAGACTACCAAAGTATTCCTTTACTTTATCTAACTGCCTCGGAGCAGTTACAGTACAGATATATTTTCTATATTTTCTACTTACAATTCTGTCACATGGAGGATCTCTAAGAATCCCCTTCTGATAGAGCCATGTTTTCAAATAGGTTAGTTTTTCTTATATAGCATTTACTTCTACTGTTTACTGCATAAGAATCATGGAATTTTTTTTCCCAATTAAAAAAATACTTAGTGACTTCCTTAATGAGTGTGACTTTTTAAAAATTCAGAAACACGAGACAGTTCTCAAAAATAAACTTTTATCATTTAGTTTTTAGTTTCAGCTATTAGTGCCTGTAAAGGATCTCAGATGACCACAACTAATTTCTATAACTCATCATTTGAGTCATACTTTTTTAAAGCAATACTGTTGTTTTTTTCTCTCTTACTCAGTGGCCGATTATTCAATTTATTGATTATCCATTTATTGACTGGTTAGCCTCCCTAATTAGTGCTTTTATAGCCAGTTCACGATTCATTAGCACCTTTCCCCAAATGACTGGAAAAAGAAATAACATGTAAACCTTGGATCCGTAAATTGTTCAGATTTTTTTCATTGGGAATTCAAATTACTGGGTCAACATATTAGAATAAAAGGCAAAAATCAGATCCTAAAACAACTCTTCAGAATTATGCTTCCTTCTGAAACCACACACAACCAGAGGAGGCCTTGATTATAGAAAGAAGCTCCAAGGAAGGGAAAGGCCAAGGAACCTCTTACCAGATAAACTCCCTGCAGTGAGAGCAGTAGGTGGGCTGCCTCAGGTATGTGGCCATAAACTTGTGTCCATTGATCTGGTGGACTCGCCTTCGCATAGCCCTTTGGCGCTTCCTGGTAAAATGTTTGAAGATTCGGTCTCTCTGGAGAGTGGCTGTACAACAAAAGAAAGGAAAAAAGAATAACGTGCAGTGAAGCTAGCTGTATCTAATGTATGAGAAAGTGTCATAGCTCAAATACTCTCCAAATTGTTCCTTCTTTCTTTAAGATGCAAAACACCCCAGAACCTCATCATGCTTCCTAGTGACCTTAGGACTTAGTTTGAGAGGGTTGGACCTAAGTGAACTCTGAGATTCCCCACTGCCTGATTATAGCTGGCTATCTTGGACCAGTCTCCCCAGCACAGACCATGGGTCCCCCGGGGTTCTAATGCTCCAGTAGGGGGGACATCAGCCTGGCCTTCTAGCTCCTGTCCCCCTGGGTGGGACCTCAGGGCCATCGACTGGCTAGAACTACTAGCGGGTAAAACAGATCTCTCATTATTTGCCTTTTGTTCTGGCATCCTCACAAACAGAAGGAGGGAATGGCCACAGCACAGTGACAACACCACCCAAAAGCATCAGTCCCAACACTGTCTCTGGAATGGGTAGAAATTCACCCGGACATAATGCAAGGTTCCTTTTCCACCTTCACATTTTTAAAAATCGTGGCTCCTAGTCTGAAGAATCAAAACTGGGCACTATCAAAAGTCAGTCAATTATGTCTTCCAGATAATTATACTAGAACTTTCCCAAGGTATACAGAGACTTATGATTAATAAAATAAAGATTACTTCTTCGATAATGTTTTGCAATTAATCACTTCAATGCAAAGAAAATTTAAGAAATAATGCAAGAATAATCTGCTAATAAATTTTAAAACCTGGAATATGCCCATTATTGTGCTCCTGGGAAAACTGCCACCTGTTCACAGTCGGTTTTTCTTTTAAGATAATGCTGAATAGTATCAGGTCACCTGGGTGGCTCAGTCGGGTAGGCGTCTGAGTGGATTTTGGCTCAGGTCACGATCTCAGGGTTATGAGAAACAACAAAATGCATTCAGTAAAGATTTTCATAATTTTAATGCTTTGTCAAACTCCTTCCCCCACTTTTTAAATATTAACAAAATTTAGTCCTCATTTTGAAGAATTCATTTTATGTGGACTTTTCTCAGTAGCAATGACACTCAGATAACCAGGAAATTCTATACTATTCAGCATTATCTTTTTTGGGGGGGAGGGGCAGAGGGAGAGGGAGAGAAAATCCTAAGCAGGCTCCACACACAGCACAGAGCCAGATGCAGGGCTTAATCTCATAAACCTGAGCACAACAATGGGCATATTATTAGAAAACCTATTATATTTTATTCTATTAACAGGTAAAAGAAAGTAACTATGATCATTTCGATATATGTTTAAAAGTCACTTGATAAAGTTTAACTTGTAATCCAACAAAAAACTTTTTGAAAAGAGTAAAAGATTGTCTCAACAAGACTAAAACATTATGCTCACAGGTCAAAAGATAAATGGTAAATTAAAAAAAAAATAATAAATCCCATGAAAGTTAAGAACAAGTAAGACCAATTACCACCTCTACTGCTTACTATTATTCTGAAAGTACTTGCCAAAGCTGTTAGAGATGAAAACAAAATAAAGGATAAAGCTATGGGAGGGGCAGGGGGAAGGAGGCAAAGATACCATGATTTGGATGTGTTCAATACATGACTAGAAAACTCAGGAGAAGTTAGCCTAATCTACTAAAAACAGAGTTCAGTAAGATGGACAATGATAAATCATTAAAAGTCAACAGGTCTTTAATACATCAAAAGAACCGTTTAGAATATATAATAAAAGTATATCCCTATTCATAAAGCTATAAAACCCAAACTAGGAATAATTTATCAGAAGTGCAAGACTTATATGAAGGAAACTATAAACCCCAACTGAAGAATATGAAAAGATATATAAAAATGAACTTCTTAAATAGAAAGACTTATTAATACTACTAAGTCGTCAATTCTTTCTAAACTAAATTCAACAAAATCCCAATAAACATCCCCAAAGGAGGTCTTTAAACTAAACCTGACAACTTTTTCAGAGTTATTTTGGCACCATAAATATTTAAAAACTGTCCAAAAATTCTAATGAGGGAAGGAAGACTTGTTCTACATGATAAAACATAAAATTATAGTGACTAAAACAGCATGCTACCACCTCAAGAAGAATCGAAACCTAGAAATCAATTTTGCTTAGAGAGAACAAGGCTCAAATCAGTGGTAAATGATAGATTATTAATAAATAGTGTTTAGACAACGAGTTAGCCTTTTAGAAAATATCTTTACCTCACTCCTTACACCAAAATAATCTCAGGTAAATGTTAAGGAGGAAGTTATGAAAAAATAAGGAAAAAATATATACTCCTAGGATGGGATAAGGGTAACAATACTCTAATACCATAAAAGACTCAGATTTGCAATTTAAGAAATTTAAAGTTCTATTTGGCAAAAGACACAAAACAGAAACTTAAACAAAACAAACTGGGAGAAAAAGGACTTGCAACACATGACAAAGGGTTACTATTTATAATATGTAGAAATTAATAATAAAAAGGGATGAACAATCTAGTAAAAATGGGACAGAGGAGGCAAATAGGCAATTTATAAAACTATAAATGCAGACAGACAATAAACACACCAGATGTCCAATCCTATCCTAGATGGACACGTAAGAAGCAGGAGGTAAATGACATTTTACTTCAATTGGCAAATATTTATAAGGACTGCTAATATGTCTATGCTTACAAGGGAATGGGGAAATAGGCAGCTCCACTCTCTGCTGTTAGGAGTGTAACTGGACTGCAGTCCTGGTTCTGCCACCTTCTGGCTGCGTTCACCCTGCTAAACCTCAGTGTTCCCATCCATAAACTGGGGTAGTGCTTTCCTCAAAGGGTTTTTCCAAGGACTGAAGGAGGTAATGCAATGAAAGTGTTCAGCGCAGAGTTAGGCCTGTGGTAGCATTCAACACATGTAGCTATTTCAAGAATATTTTTTGGGGGGGTGCCTGGGTGGCTCAGTCGTTAAGCGTCTGCCTTCAGCTCAGGTCATGAGCCCAGGGTCCTGGGATCGAGCCCCACATCGGGCTCCCTGCTCTGCGGGAAGCCTGCTTCTCCCTCTCCCTCTCCCCCTGCTTGTGTTCCCTCTCTCGCTGTGTCTCTCTCTGTCAAATAAATAAATAAAATCTTTAAAAAAAAAAGAATTTTTTTTTTTTGGAGACCAATTTGACAATATGTGTCAAAGTTGTAAATCTACATTTCCTTTCATTCAGCAATTCAACTTCTACGATTGTTTTTTTCTATAAAAACGCTAGGAAGAATATATGCTATATAGATATCAATTACTACTTTCTATTTAACAGTAAAAATTAGTAAAATAGTAAAAAATTTCAAAGAATGAAATGCAGAAATAGAGAAAATGAATCTGGTTAAGACACTGATGCTTTCAGAGGCTCTGGCACAGTTAAAATTGTACCTGCTTCAGTTTTTATTTTGGGGTGTTTGTGTGTGTAAAACCTTTGGCAAGCAGCCTAATTATTTTCATTCTCAGGGTTCCCATCTGTCTCAAGAAGATAACTACATCCCTGTCTGCAGCCCTATGGGGACAGTGTCATAATCAATATTCCTGAGTTTCTTAAAATTCTGGATAAGGATCACACACGAACAGAAGTCACTCTATTATGCAGCTCTCTTCTGCAATATTTCCAGAAGTCATTTAGGAATGACAAAAAGACCAGATTTTAATTTTCCTTTGCTTAGGCAGATGATAAAATTTGACCTAATGATCACACTATATCTAGCATATGTTATCACCAGCCTGAGACCTAGCTCAGAGTACTGGCCAAAGCAAAACTTGCATTGAATTACTAAACACTTATCACATCTAGATGCAAATTAAATTCTCCCCAGGGGTCTAATGATCAAGAATTTACTTTTTTTGTCCCTTAATACTATGAAGAGTGGTTAAAAGGTCAGCTCACTTGTATTTTTAATATTTCTTGAATTGAATTCCCTCCCCCGCCCCCCAACAGCTATTGCCTTAGTATAACAGGACCTCTGAATTTTTCAGGTGATCCCTTCTAACCTGAAGGACTTAGGAAGAAACAGCTTACAGACGTCCACCACATGTTGGTCATCCCTTAATGCCTTCGCTCCTGCCTTCCACCCCTCCTGGAATGCCCTGTCCTCTTTTTTTTCCCCCGCAACTAGTTAACTTAGATTTATTCCATCTGCCTCAGAGCCTAAGTGGTGTCCCCAAAATCCTGAATTAAATCCCCTTCTTCCCAAAGCAATCTGGGACTGCCCCTCAATTTTTTCCTTTATCCCACAGCACTGGGAAAGAGTTCACCTCCGTATCCCAGATGTCTCAGAAGCACCTCCCATGTGGTCATTTTAATGAAGCTTCACTCCTCCCTCTTCTGTATTCTTTTGCCTGGGTGCCTCTTTGTTTAAAAAACACAAAAACACACTCATACACACCTGGGAATTTGAAAGATGTTTGGTTAAGAAAACAGGGGTTGGGGGGTGCCCATGGCTTCAAAGGACTTTCACTGTCACCTCTTGATGGATGCATTGGACAGGAAGAAGGAGCTCTCAGATGGCACTCTGCCCAGGTACAGACTCGACCCCCACTTTCCCATTACAGGGGCCTTCCTCACTGTTTGCACTGCCCCCTGTTGCCTTAGCACTAAGTTAAAAGAACTTAAAAAAAAAAAAAAAAAAAAAGACTATTTAATCCTTTTGTGCCTTAAACCAACCCAGGCTTGGAGAAATTTTCCAGATCACATAGGGTTTTTTTGAACACGTTAGGCAATCCTAACGTGCTTTGCAGCCAAAACTTGCATCACAACTTCTGTTTTGCTCCTGAGGTACGCATGCCTCTAAGTAAAGAGGAAGCTGGCTCAGTGCCCAGGAGGGAAACTCACATTCCAGGCTCAGAGGTGGGCAGGCCTGGAGTCCCGATCCATCTCACCGGCGAGTCAGTTTTGATAAGCCATCCCATCCATGGGATGGAGAATAATGAGGTCAAATACAACAAAGATTAACTATTTTGAAATAAAATTCT